ACGAGTGTATGATAATTTTTAATTCTATTAGAGAAATAGTGTGGAGTTTCGTTGACACTTGGCGATTAAAAAATTATTTTCGTGTTTTGTATAGTTTAATAGATTTTTGAGATTAACAAATGCATTCACTATGGATCTTTTATTTAAGTTCCTAAAATTTGACTGAAACATACGTTTATCACATCATTTACATATCAACAACTATAGAAAATAATATGTTAGTGAATTATAGTTTGTCGCACGTCATCGTAGTTTTATATTTTTGTGTTATTTGAGTTTATTTAATTTGACAAAGGGACTAGATTTATTTATTGAACCATTTTATTGTTATATTTTATGATCGCTGGTATCTTTACTGCATGTATAAAAATTCAACAAAAAGTAACGATCAATTTCAATAAATTATATATACCAACCCGTCAATAAAACACTTTTATTATTAAGAAATAATAAATTTTCAAGGCAATAAAAATAAATAACTATTATGTCAATACAAATTGCATAGGTAGATACATTTTGTTGATTTAATAAGTCTGATTTATTAAAATGACAATTTTGTTTTCAGTAATTTGATTAAAATTTTAATAAACGAATAAATTGTTTGTTAAGCTGACATAATATTTTATACTTTAAACCTTAGTATGTCCATATGTTCACGTATTTTAACGGCTCGGTTTCTGGGACTCGAATAATATTTAATATTATACAAAGTAGGCCACCGTGTTTTCCAGTTTTTGAATATTAGTTGTATGAAAAAATGAGGAAACGCGATGTTTCACTCTGTATATACGCAACATCTTGACACGTTTGAATAGTCTTTTATTTGGATTTCAACGAATCTTTAACGATTTTTCCATTTTAAAGTTTTCTTATAGAACTACATATATCGTATTACAGCACAGACAGAATTATTATCAATAATTATATGACTTAATATACCTATTAACAATATTTTTGTCACTGTCATCTGTCATAGCTAGGATTAGGATTTATATGCAACAGTATATTTTTTTTGCAACTTCTGATTATTGCTTTTGTAAGTAATGTCCACGAATTATCTCATGATGAGATAAACAGTAGTGATTTTATTTTGCACGTTTTTACATATTTTGGACTAAAATTCATGCTCTTGCATATTTTAACTATAAAAACGCGAAAAATGCATATTTTATGGTATATTTTGTTAACAGACGTTTTTATCATACGACGCTATTCAAAAATACCTATTTAAGATATACCTATATTAAGGTCTAACAGAAAACCGTCCAATTTTGAAAATTTAAAACACCATTTAATTGTTTTGGGTAATACATTTAAATAGCGTGAATTAGTTGAAAATATTATTTAATTAATTTTAAACCTTATGATTTTTTTTTTAAGTATATATTTCATATTTTTTGGCGTATATCTATATAATATTAATTACATATATTAGTATATTTTTTGTAAGCCAAATGCATATTTTACAATTTTTTATTGCATATAAATCCTAACCCTAGTCATAACACTCACATCTCGCAAGTTGTTAACGACGAGGGCTTGAGCTATTTTGAACTGACCATCATTTTTTTTTTTAATATTACAATAAAATAATACTTATATTATTTTAACGCTTCAACTTACAAGTCACTAGGTAACTACCATATTTTATTTTTTTTAAATATAGGTAATAGTGATATAATTAAATTTGTAAGAATGCATATTTTTGTTTTATTGCATTTAGTATTTAACCATTTGTCATCACACTTATATGGCAATGTATCATGATATATTAATATCATAAATAATAAAGTATTTAAAAAATTAAAGAATTATCATATTTAATATAATATCATCAATAAAATAATTTGTAATTAGTCATAAACTCATAACAGTCATAACTAATCGAGTGGCTTAAGACCCATTTTGTAGCATAGGTATGATTTGATAAATTTTTAAGTGGCTATTCATGGTAATTTCGGAGATTACATCGCAAAGAACCTTCTAATTATGTCTATTTTTAATTGGAAAAGGCATACTACTTCACATAGAGCGTCATACTCAACAAAACAAAAACAAAACTGTTTTAGATCAATCCAACAGGTAGGCTTGATAAGCATAAAACTGTGCTAAATAACTTGGGACCGCAATAATTTGTGTACATTTGAAAAAGGTAAATCGAATCACGTGAAAAAAATAAGTAGTATGTAAGTTAGGTACCGACTTACCCTCTAATTACCATAATGTATAATTAATTAATTTGTATCCACATTATATTATTAACTGGAACGTACATGAAACTTATCTGAATTAGTTTATTTAATTTTGATTTAAGAATGATAATAAAAATTGATTTTTTAATTAATAATTTATAAAATTTATTACATAATCACAAAATATACCTTTTATTTTTTCCTAAAACTGATTTAGGTACAACATTTTATTCCCCGTAGTCAAATTAACCAACAAATAGTCGTTCAGAATCCAACTTACCAATCGCGCTTAAGTCCTGCAAAATCTGCAGTTTCAGCAGCATCGGAATCGTTAATTTTATTAAGTATACCTAAATTAAAACTGAATAACACAATAGCTATTTACTTGAAATTTTTACCTCAAATATTCACATTAAATATATATATTATGATATAACTTACAAAATATATTTATCACTTTTTTAACTTTTTTTTAAATTGTTCTTACCACAATTAAAAAATATTAAAAATAAGTAGACACAATTAATATTTTGTTATTTGAACTAATTGAGTTGAAATTTTGCCTACGTTGAATATTCAATGATTTTCGTTATTTTGGTATTATTTAAAAAAATTTAGTCGTAGAAATTAAGATATAAAATATTCTAGAATGACTTAATAAATGAGTATGAGCATTTTTAAATTGTAATATTTTACAAATCACTTCACACCTTACGAAAAGAAAACATGGATCTAACACCAACCGGTTTTAATGAATTAAGAAAATACAGGCGAATTTTTAGGTACGTGTGTATAGGTAGGTTTAAATGGGCGTGAAGTAGTAGTATGACGAGTGAGGACTGTAAGTTGAAAAAGCAGAGCGTCCTCCCACACACACAGGTACATGTCACCACCTCGACACTTCAGAATTAGCGTGTAACGATAATGAACGTATATTATTTGTTATTATTGTCAATCTAACTGATACACTGAAAAAATAGGATCAATTTTCTGAAAACTGATTCAAATTTGTTAACTAATATACCGGAGAAGCATTGTCTCTTGTCTTCCACACAGGTATTACTTATACATATACATAATAGATTCATATTATGTTTTAATTATATTTAATATTAGAGCGAATGCACTGTTTATTGAATTTGTAGTAAAGAATAATAACCGTGCTGTAGTGAAGCGTTTTTTTCTCCAAATATTTACTTTAAATTGAGTTTTAAGTACTTACATAATTCCTTTTTTAAATTCATAAAACTCATTTCAAAATAAGTAGGTACACGAAAAAAAAACCTCTAATTATATTAAGTACCTACATTGTTAGTTGATATTCATCGTCATTCGTAATTTTACTTAAACATCAACAATTACACTTTAAGCAGTTTAAGCGTACCTATTATAAAAATACCATTTATGAACGAATATTTTCTTTTTACGTAAAAAATTATTTAAAAAAAGAGTAAATAGATAATATCACTCTCTTGTTAATACGCCACTTAAACGTATCTATTACTTATAATAATTGGAGTAAATAAGACATTTTTTAACCGTTTATCAGTGTAATATATATAAGTGTCAGATATCTACTCATATATAATGTACATGATGTATAAAATATTATTACATACTATTACTATTTTACTTTTTCCACGTTTATCATGATAAACGATTTATTGATATTTAACGCATAATATATCAAGACATTAAAATATACACTTTTTTTTATGTAATTTGCTAAAATGTAATTCATTTTAACGGACATGATATTATATTTACGTACAGCGTACAGTATTTTAGTAATTCAATTTGACTAAGTTCTAATTTATTATTTTACGCGTAATACATCTCTTTAACGCTGACATTTATTTTTGATTAAAACTATTACTAGCCAAATTTTATCCTTTAAAGAATTAATAAAAAAACAAAAATTTAAATACTTTATATGAAATGTCTACATTCATACTAAACAATGATATCACAACAAGTTGCTCTGAAATGTTAGCAGCTTGTATATAATTCTTCTTAATATCATTAATTAATTTTGCAACCGTTGAAAGAGTCTTTTCAAAACTAAAAATCATAAAAAACCATTTAGGTAATTCATATTTCATGTGGCCAGAATCGACTTTCAATTTTTAAACATTGTCATATTCAATATAGAAAAAGATAGGACTTCTAAGTTGAAAACAGACAAATTAATTAAAAGTTTTTTTAAATCATCTAGAAACATTAAATTTCTTTAAATATAATTTTACCATGTCTGTGTTGTACTTGTAAAATACTTTGTTGACCTGTTTAAAAATGTGTAATTATAACAATATAGATAATTTAATTTTTTTTTTTTTTGATAATGGCCACTTAAATAATGTTTAGTTTCAGGACTAAGAAATTCTAGTTGCGGCACTGAGTTATAATTGTTAAAAATAAGACTTCTCGTAGTTTTTAAATGTGTTGTCTTAAGGTTGACCAGGGTAAATGCCCAAATTGCCTACCCTCTCCAATTTACGCTTATGTGAAAGATAAACATTAAAAAAATATTCAGAATTGATTGCATAAATATTACGAATAAATGTTTATCCTCGATTGTTTACAAATATTATTAATTATTATGGGTATTGGAACTTGCAATATTATTATGCTACCTAAAAAATCTTAACACTATAGTATATAAGTAATACCTATATGATATTATAATTTATAATATTACATTATTTAATCATAGATTTATATTGTGTTATACATCACAGAGAATTAAAATTAAATTCATAAATACGTCTAATACGATATATTTATTTAGTATTTCTCGTATGTACACAGAACTTACGCATTCAACATGTGCAACCCAAACAAAACAAATCAGCCTCGGTACACGAAGAACCGGCGCAGAAGGGGCGCCGGCTTCACATTATATAACCAACATTTAAATCTGCCGGTTATATTTCGAGTTTGGAGTTTGTCAAGTTCGGATACGTTCAATCCGAATAATCCAGCGCCAAAGACTAAGGATGATGCACAAAAAAAATAACGTATGTTAAGTACTTAGACATTAAATTCTACAGTCTTGCAAAAAACACTTTAACTCTAGTTATCTGTCAGACTGATTTAATAATATCATGTATTATTATTATTATTTTTTTTCTATCTTTAATTGTATACACGTGATTTCTGTTGTAAATAGATAACTTGTTTATTTTCAGTTGTGAATAAACCGCCAACGGACACCTCCGCCCACTCTTCAAGTCGTCGCGGTCGAATCGTATAATAATTAATTTATATTTAGTATTCCCGTGAACTTAGTTATTCACTTATTGTATTAAGTTTGATTGTTTTTTTAGTAATGACTGTCTATTGCTGTCATTAATGTTCTAAAAATGTAATAAATAGTTGACTCAATATTAAAATGTTATTTCCAACTCACATTATTTATTTTGTACGATGTATACTAAATATTATAATAATATTATTTCATATTTTGTTACAAATAATGTAAACTTAATATGATATTATAAAATTTTGATATTCTAAAATAGATTGCCGTATAATATTTTGCGTTATACCCATGTTTCATAGCGTATTATATTCGATAATTAAAAATACTAATCAGTAAATTTTGTGTCTTATTAAATACTAATTAGTTGATTCTGATCCCGAACGTCGTTGCCTGTGACAAATTAAATTTCTGTGATTTACTTTTTATTAAAGTCTGTTAAATGTTGACTGCGCAGATGATTATCTTATAGTTATTATACTTATTAGAATATTGTTTTAACTAAATCTAAAATACAAAAAAAATATCGTTCATCACATCAAATAAAGTGATAGTTTTCGTAAGTAAACTATGTTCATTATGTGTGTGTTAAAAATCAATAAGTATATATAAATAGATCTTGCTGAATTGGTTGACGACAATTTTATGAAAATCGTTCAATAAATTGTCGATTTGCATAAGATTTATCATCTGTCTACCTTTCAGCAATCATCATACAATTATTCCAAACGCAACGCAATTAAAAATACTAAATGGGTTTAATTTGAATGTCCAAAAAGATTTTTTAAATTACCTAATAATTTTATAAAAAAATAACACCAGTCCACGAGGCCTCTTCATAGGAAACTTTTTGTGTATTTTAAGAAAAGTATCAATTAAAAATCATAAATATATTAAGTTTAATCAAATTTTCTTGTAATATATACAGTGCAAAGTAGTCATCGAGTTGTAAGTTGAAACCATTGAAAAATGATTTGTGATGAATTAAAATGAAATACAATATATAAATTAGTTCACCGAATACTTCCATTATATTATAGAAATTAATAATAATATTATCATTATTATTATTTTTTCTAATTTACAATACTCTAAATAAATCGAAACAATATGCATTTTATAAGAATTACTTATCAGAAATGATTTTCATTATACAGAAACAATATTATTTGATATTTCAACGAAATTACCTATAATAATACTACTCAACACTACTTTGATTAACAAAAGTCTGCAATAAAGTAATTTTGTGAAAAATAAAATTTCATCATAATATTATGTTCTATTTTAAAATAAATAAATATAATTTTTGCGATTTCATTATACTGTTTTAGACAATCAATATACCCATCATACTATAATAAACAGTCACCTTTCTTCTCAAAATTCTGGGAATCAGTTACCTTTATATATATTATACTCTACAGAGCACGTCTCTCGGTGTTAAATTCATGTTTCCGGTGTATAGTTATTTATTTTTTTTTTTAATGAATAACTCAGATTAGATTTGATATCCTAAAATATAAAAGATTTATAACAAAATGTATTTTTCTTTACGATACGAAAAACATATCACATTTTATTCGTTAAATAAATAACAGAATAAGTTTTCGAATTTTCAAAATCAAATACCATAGACATTTTAGGTGTATTTTATATTTTTATACTATAATTTATGGCATTTTTTAAGGTTTTTTAATGCATAAAATTCACAGCTCTAAAAATAAGCTGCAAGTTATTTGCTGATAATTCGGTGAATAAACAGAAATACTTAACAAATCCTAAAGAAATATAAAATATAAAATTAAATATTAACCAATGTGTAAAATATGTTGTTCTCAAAAATTTTTATCGCTATATTTACTTTAAAATGATCAATGAAGAAAGTACTTTGTTCAAAATGTAGATTGAAAAAGTTATTGTCATATAATATTAACGTAGCTCAATCATTTTAATTTTATTTTAAATTAACAATACAAAACTTACGCATGAACTTTAAATGTCCATATAATACATACCTATCGGATATCCTGTTTAGGAACTACCTAGTACATTTTATAATTTTCTTTAATATAAAACCTGAAAATTGTTGAAAAACTTTAAAAAAAATTAGGGGGCTATATATATTTTTGGGAGGCTAAGTCCTCCAAGCCCCCCAATTTACGCCTATGCACCCGAATTACACACGCTACCAATCATCACTAGAAAATTACGCCACTATAATGGACAGTTCCTGGTGGAAAATTAAATTTAATTGATACTTCGAGGTGTAAAAACGAGTATATTCCGCTAGTACATATAAATATATTATATTTAATGTAAATTATTTATTATACATTTTTTGATTTAATTATATTTTATTATGAAATAATTTTGTATTTAAGTATAAATTATGCGTCGTTCGTTACATAGCATATTAATTTCGTTAGCTAAAATAACAAAAAATGACTTTTATATGTAATTAAATATATTTATCTAGTAACTTAGGTAATTAATTCTATTTGAAATGTTAATCATTTTACAACTATACATATATTATAGACAAATAGCAACTACACACTTATTTAATAGCTCGTCGCTTGTAATTATATGACTGATCTGTTCATGTTTATATTATTATATAAGTAAAAATTATCATAAAACTATCACTGTACGATTATAATTGTATTGGACATTGATTATTGTCAAGATGAAATTTTCGTATAATCGGAAAATTATTTTGACATACGATCCTAATGCGTACGCAATTGCTATCTATATACAAAATTAAATCTCCGACCATATCGACGCAGTTCTGAAGAGGAGGATTTTTTCATAGTTTGTTCCCGACCTTATTATCGACGTTTAAATTGTATATATTAAATATAAACCAGGAGTCATGCGATTTAAATACCGTCACATAGATCTTATATTGTGTTACCCGACAGCTAAAACCGTCTGTTTGAAATAATAGTGTTTATTATTATTCATTTTTTTTTTAAATCAGCTAACGCGACGTTATCTAGGTATAACATCTAAAAGTTTATAAAAAATAAACGACACACTATACGATTATATTGATTATTATGATTATTGTATAATGTTTTAGCAGAATCGGATTTTTAGTTTGTCGATCAACAGTTTGCAGTTCGTGTTAATTTCATCAACACTCGTTTTAATCAATTTGTAAGTCCACATTTTATTAAACAATTAAATATTTCTTATATTTTAATGTATCAAAATACAATATCTGGTGACAAATACGTCTATCACGAGTAGATTTTTATGGACAACCGTTAATTATGTATTTTTAATTAAAACTGTAGTTTATATCGTCCATTTACGTTTCTTGGTTCCTTTTAATAATTGTATATTATATTTATTCATTATTTATTTGTACCTTAATTCAATGTTAGAATTTGAAAATAAATTGGTATTAATAATTGGTCATAATTTTATGTTATCCAAAAAGTATCCGTAAATATTTACACTTGAGTAGGCGATTGCCCTAGACCTAAAATTAAAACAAACGCCACTCAAACCAGACATATTCAAATATTACAATATTTCAGGTTAAACTACATATAAACTATCAGATTATAGTATTTGACGTATAAAAAAATAAACTAGACATTTCCATCGTCCATTTGTACAAAAGCGACCAACGATCGATTACTTTTGATTGTCTCACAATATGCTCGAACTTAAAATAAATATTTTTGTTATATCTCATCAATTTGTTTTAGACAATCAGCATGTCGTTGAGTTCCAATGATCAATCATCTTCGTCAGAAAACCGTCAACCATCATTACAGGATCTTCAAAATCAGATGAGTAAATGTCAGTTAGACTCGGATAGGAAATATAAAGAGAAAAATCCTAAACCGATAGCGATCGTGTCACCCATTAGGCAGTATAATGTTAAACCAATGATTCCCAGACCGTCTAGTCGTTAAGACTGAGAGCGAAGATCTAAGATTTGGGTAACCGTGTTTTAAATTTCAGTCATTTAAATAATTTTTTTATGACTAAAAACATGTGACTAAGTATTTTTTTAAAAATAATCGTTTTTATCCTATGGCTATTTGGGTAAGATTTATTAATAATTATGACGTTATTATTAATTATTTTTTTCAAGTTATTAAAATAAAATAATATTAAAAATAAGAAATAATTTATATTTTATTATACTTAGATAATAATTTCCATGTTAAATTTTTTATTCTTACGTACAGTAAAAATTGTGATAGCTAGATAATTTACATTAAGATATATTCCAAGAAAGAAGTTTTAAAAATATAGTGATAAAATGCTATTAGTAACATTGATGTTTTATAGATAATTAACAAATCTAACATTGATTACCAGGGTTCGGATTTGAAGGCAGTATAATCAATAAAAAAAGCATTTAATTTATATTAAAATGTAATTCAAAAATATACTACAAAATTTAATTTACTAAGTAGTTGATATTAAAAAAAAAAATTACCACCGTGTACTTAGATAAGCTATCTTCAGTAAAACGTTGACGGTTTGAGCTCAAAATATTTTTGTATATTGAAAATTTCTACGTCCACCGAATTTATTGGGACATATTTTATACACAAATAATTATCTAAATTTAAATTACTACTTATTAAATCGTTATCACTTGTTGTTTCTCCATTTTAAAATTTGTAAACAATTTTAAACATAACATCAACAATGCAATGTCTTTACAGCTCATCGATTTGTACCGTAGACAAAAAAAAAAAAGGAAAAAATGCATTTATAAGTAAAAAAAGGCAAAAAGGGCATTTATAATTAAAAAAGGAAAAAAATATATTCACCGCCTTAGACATTAAACAAAACACATTTTTATATGAAAATTATTTTTCTACTACCTATAATTATTTAAAAAAAATACTTTTGCCTTCAAATCCGAACCCTACATAGTTATTACACTTACAGTATTTTATTTTGATGATACAAATATTGTCATATACTGCAATAGTCAATTTGTTCAAACTGACAATAAATTGTCCGTCAATTTGATAAATCTTATTATATTCACTCAAAAATATATATTTAACATTTTCAATGTACATTTTTTTAATCTATAATTATTTTGTCATTCTAACAATAAAAATACATATTTGGATGATGAAACCGTGTTGTTAAATACATTTTTAA